AGAGGGCAGTGATATATCTGGCAGTGTACAGTGATATATCTGGCAGAGGACAGTGATATATCTGACAGATGACAGTGATATATCTGGCAGTGTATAGTGATAAAAATGCCTCCTTATTTAGCTTCGTGAACGATGTTCTGAGTTTTGCTGGTGTCGCGTATGCTGCTGACATTATTCATTGATGAGAGCCTCTGGAGCTGGGTCTGGTGTTCCGTTCACTCTCAGGGGTGTTTCTCGAGTGGGGGTTCTAAGAGGTCTTCTACTCCCCCAAGCCCGGCCCGAGGCCTGGCTTGACTTGGGCTGTTTCTCGAGTCGTTACTGGGAGGTAGTTTCCCGTCATTGTATACTGTCCGTTTGGTCTCCTGTCACTGGTACCCATTTCCATCACCTTACACTTGCTCGTATTGAAATCCAGTAGCCATTTCTGGAACCAGCTCTGCAGCATATTTAAGTCATCTTGGAAATTCTTTTAATCCTCATTTGTCACAACTCTAGTTTTACATAGTTTGCAAACATCGGCATATAAGACTCAACTGCTGTAGGTAGGTTATTTACATATATGAGGAATAGTATAGGTCCCAGCACCGATCCTTGAGGTACATCGCTTGCTACCTTACCTCTCGGATGTCTCCCCCCCCCTCACTGTTACTCTCTGACGCCTGTCTGTTAGGTAATTCCTTACCCTTGACAGTGTCTTTCCACTTTTGCCTGCGTCTTAAGTTTGTGTAGTAATCTCTTCTGAAGAACTGTGTCAAAAGCATTTTGGAAGTTCAAAGATACGCAATCTGCCCAAGCTCCTGTCCTGCCTGATTTGTGTGTGTGTCCTGCAGTTGTGCTTGGTTTAATACCTCTTCCCTCTGTTTAGGTACTTGCCCTGACTCTATTCTTAAGGTCTCCTAGAATCTTGTTGAGGTCCTCACACACCTCTCTGTCATTCTCTGTGAGTTGGCCCTTCCCTTGTCCTCAGTATCATAACATGTTGCTTTGCTTTCGTTTTCCTCCTGATGTGGCTGTGAGGTAGATAGGGTTGAGTGTTTGTCTATTTGCGATGCAGTTTGAAATGACCTCTCTGCTTCTCTTCTCACTCGGACGTACTCCTTCTGGACCCTCTCGTACCTCCGCCTGCTCTCTGGTGTGATGGTATTCCTGCAGTTCTCCCTGCGGTGGTTGGGCCTCCTTCAGTACTGAAGACTTCAACGTCTGGGACAGTCACGTGACCACCACATTATGAGGGAACAGCGTACCAATCAGCGGCCAGGGTAAGACCATTCTGCCTCTCCCATTAATCTCACATTTGACATTCCTGGAGGTCTAGTCTGCTACTGTTGTTGCCCTTCTTCATATTCACCTCCTCATTATCCCCCCACCCCCACCCCACCCGCCTTCTCCTCTTCACTCCGCCTCTCGTCTCAAAACTTCCCCTACACTCCAACCCCCTCTCACTTCCCCCCCCCCCCCCCGCCCCATCAGCTCCCCCCGCCTGAGCCTTAGGCCCCGCCTGGCGACAAACACTCTGGCTACACTCACTCACCGCAGTAACAACACGTTACTAGAGCTGTCAAGCTGTGGCAAGAGTCGCACGCCCCGGGGCACTGACAGTTGGCAGCCCTGGTGCCTGTGTGCGGGAGGTGCCGGCGCCAGTGCTCAAAGCCTGACTTCCGCATCTGCCGCCTCTGCCTATCAACGAAGCTGTAGTGGATATGTGGGATATGGATATGTGCGCTCCAAGCAACAGCCTGTTGGACCAAGTTATCACAAGTCAGGGAATAGAAAAGCTCCACAGCGCCTCTAGGTATACGCCTCGCTCAAACCTCACACTAAATGCTTCCCAATTTTGACTCTGGGATTACAAGCGTATAAATTAAATAGTGCTGATGACAAGTACAAGGCTAACAAATGTACGCTTTTCTGGACTAGCGAACATTGGTATGGATAAGATGGGAGGCTTGGTGTAGGCTGGTACTGTCCCCTACACTACAGTAGTGCAGGGGGTGTACCAGCCTACACTACAGTAGTGTAGGGGTGTACCAGCCTACACTACAGTAGTGTAGGGGTGTACCAGCCTACACTGGTGTAGTGTAGGCTGGTACACCCCCCTACACTACAGTAGTGTAGGGGTGTACCAGCCTACACTACAGTCAGTGGAGGACTGTCACCAGGGGCTGAGCACATGTTATCACTGCCGCTCTTTAGTCTCACAGTTTTCATTTTATTGTCACTGTATAGAGGTAAAAGAGAGAGAGAGAGAGAGAGAGAGAGAGAGAGAGAGAGAGAGAGAGAGAGAGAGAGAGAGAGAGAGAGAGAGAGAGAGAGAGAGGGAGGGGAGGGGGGGCGGGGGGCTCCCTCCCTCCCTCCTGGTACTGATGGAGACCCACAGAGATGGAACAGTGTACACAACAGTCGCCTCCATCACTTGCTCTCCCATCAGTTTTGGGTGCGCGATAACTTTACATATGTCTTCACCACTGTTCACGTGTCTTCATCACTGACGCTGGAAAGATAATTTCATTCAAACTATCCGGTGAGTGTTGTCACTCACTGTAACACTGTAACTCATCACCCTGGTGGGTGTCCACCTTCATGTTACACCACCTGACCACCGAGTGTATTGTCTTACACACTAAGTACTCACACTACCGTCAAGTATCAGTAAGAACAGCAGTAGCAGCCACGAGAAGGATTCGAACCCCATGCTCGGAGTACTCCCAAGCACACGCCTTGCACCACTACACCACGACATGGTCAAAAGCATTGCAACCTGGGATTCAAGTGAAGCCTGTTAAGAGATCCTGAGGCTAACTAGGCTTTCACACAATGCCTCCCCCCCCCCCCACCCCAGGCGTCGATACCTTCCTCTTACTTTCAGGCAATTCGCTCCAGGTGTCGACACACCGTAAAGTAAAATGATGGACTAAATTGCCCTAACCTAACAGAGGTCCCACAGATAGAAAGCGCAACAGTCCGTCAGTTCTGCGAGCCGCTGTAATTGACAGTACAGGTACCTCATATTTTGGCCGTTGGAGATTTATACGTCAAAATGGTCTGTGTCCATCCTGCCCCCGCCCCCTCCACCGGGTGGGGTCGCCACCCCCCTCCAGCCACCGGGTGGGGTCGCCTCCCCCCATCCAAAGGACGGCACTGGGGAGTCACAGAGGAAGAACACAGGTCCAGGCTCTGGATCTTGACACAATCCACAGGTGCCGTGATGGAACTTCGAACCTACGCACCGGGTATTCCCAGTAACGTGATATATTCCCAGTAACGTGATATATCCCCAGTAACGTGATATATTCCCAGTAACGTGATATATTCCCAGTAACGTGATATATCCCAGTAACGTGATATATTCCCAGTAACGTGATATATCACATTACTGCGACTTGTGTGCGTTGTGGATCCTGATGTTGTTAGCTAGACAAGTTAGTTGTAATTCTGTTCCAACTCGCTAGTGAAATTCCGCCTGGAATACTGTGTTGTGTGGCCGCCCCGCACACACAACACCTCACTTACTGGCACCGTCTGCAAGGCAATGTTCTGGGTGGAAGGAGGAGAAGCATCACACAACACATACAGGGAACACACTGCAACGTCAGCTCTCAAAAATACAATACCTTCCTGGAGCGAGTGTGTCGTGGCAGGAAGTATAGAACACACCCGGGGAATACACCCGGGGCTCTTCACCAACATTTTAGCAAATATGAAAAATATGGCCGGAACAAAAGTGGAAAATTACACGAGGTAATTGGACAGGTTTCTGCACAATGTGCCGGGTCAGCAGAGCTGGAATGGATGTGTGGGCCTGCGGGGCGCTGCCACCAACAGCCTTACATATCAAGGTATTACCACAAACGTAAATGTTGACTCTTCTCAATGCAGGAAGGAACAGTATTAACTACACATCCCTCGGGTTACACGCCCAACTGGTCCCCTTGTACCATGACCATTACGCTAACTACAGGCACTTTGATTACCATTACCTTCAAGTTAAAGGTGTAATAACAAACCCCAAAATTTGGACATTTGTCTACCATTTGCGAAGGTGCTGCCACTGCCTCCTTGTGGGAGGTGCCAGAACCCCTCCTATGGCCGTGTTTACCTTTGGTCACATGAAGGAGCGGGCTGCTCTAGCCTGGGGCTCCTAGCCATCATTCCCTGAGAGGTCACTATATATATATATATATATATATATATATATATATATATATATATATATATATATATATACAACCTATCTACAAATATCTACTACAATATATATGTAGTAGATATAATAGAGGAAAAATAGATTAGTTAGAAAGGCGGGGTCCAAGAGCTAATAGCTCGATTCTGCAGTCACAAATAGTAAATACATCCTTCCACACCCTTGCCCAAACCCTAACACCTACTCCCCGACACTTCCACAACCTGTCAACACATTCCTCCAATATATCCCAACCCCTTCCCACCTCACAGTCTCAAGACGCTCCCCCCCCCCCTACACCTCCACACCTTGCCATTGTCTACTGACACAACAACATTCCACACGCCTCAATTGCCCGCCTTACGCAAAGAACACACAATTGCACCATCACATAAGGGTGAGCGAGACTGTGACAGGGACGAAAGTGAAACGCTCGCCTCTCTATCCCATAATTCCGGGCGAACGTCGTGTCATAATCCTGGCGGGGTGCGGGGCCCCTGCGCGCGCGCGCGCGACGCCCGCGCACAATACACACCAACTCGTTATTCTCTGTAATAACTTAATAACTCGAATTAAGGGCGGACTAAAAACGTGTGCGTTTCAGAAATAGAAATTTCTTCCCAAGAATGACGTCCATTTCACCGTCATAAAGACTGTCACCTTGGTTATGACACTTGACAGTGAGTGTATTACCTGTGCAGCCACACCACCTGAGAAAGGTACACACACACACATGGGCACACCTCTCACAGCATATGTGGGTCTTACATATATATCTTTACGCAAGATATTTGGATGACTTGAGATGATTATCTCACAGCTCTACCTTGGAGGCGACCTCTCTCAGGTCTACGCTGGAGACGACCTCTCACAGGTCTACCCTGGAGACGACCTCTCACAGGTCTACCCTGGAGACGACCTCTCACAGGTCTACCTTGGAGGCGACCTCTCTCAGGTCTACGCTGGAGACGACCTCTCACAGGTCTACCCTGGAGGCGACCTCTCACAGGTCTACCCTGGAGACGACCTCTCACAGGTCTACCCTGGAGACGACCTCTCACAGGTCTACCCTGGAGACGACCTCTCACAGGTCTACCCTGAAGGCGACCTCTCACAGGTCTACCCTGAAGGCGACCTCTCACAGGTCTACCCTGGAGACAACCTCTCTCACAGGTCTACCCTGGAGGCGACCTCTCACAGATCTACCCTGGAGGCGACCTCTCACAGGTCTACGCTGGAGACGACCTCTCACAGGTCTACCCTGGAGACGACCTCTCACAGGTCTACCCTGGAGGCGACCTCTCACAGGTCTACCCTGGAGGCGACCTCTCTCAGGTCTACGCTGGAGACGACCTCTCACAGGTCTACCCTGGAGACGACCTCTCACAGGTCTACCCTGGAGGCGACCTCTCACAGGTCTACCCTGGAGGCGACCTCTCTCAGGTCTACGCTGGAGACGACCTCTCACAGGTCTACCCTGGAGACGACCTCTCACAGGTCTACCCTGGAGACGACCTCTCACAGGTCTACCCTGGAGACGACCTCTCACAGGTCTACCCTGGAGACGACCTCTCACAGGTCTACCCTGAAGGCGACCTCTCACAGGTCTACCCTGAAGGCGACCTCTCACAGGTCTACCCTGGAGGCAACCTCTCTCACAGGTCTACCCTGGAGGCGACCTCTCTCAGGTCTACCCTGGAGGCGACCTCTCACAGGTCTACCCTGGAGGCGACCTCTCACAGATCTACCCTGGAGGCGACCTCTCACAGGTCTACCCTGGAGACGACCTCTCTCAGGTCTACCCTGAAGGCGACCTCTCACAGGTCTACCCTGGAGGCAACCTCTCTCACAGGTCTACCCTGGAGGCGACCTCTCTCAGGTCTACCCTGGAGGCGACCTCTCACAGATCTACCCTGGAGGCGACCTCTCACAGGTCTACCCTGGAGACGACCTCTCTCAGGTCTACCCTGGAGGCGACCTCTCTTAGGTCTACCCTGGAGGCGACCTCTCTCAGGTCTACCCTGGAGGCGACCTCTCACAGATCTACCCTGGAGGCGACCTCTCACAGATCTACCCTGGAGGCGACCTCTCACAGGTCTACCCTGGAGGCGACCTCTCACAGGTCTACCCTGGAGGCGACCTCTCACAGGTCTACCCTGGAGGCGACCTCTCACAGGTCTACCCTGGAGGCGACCTCTCACAGGTCTACCCTGGAGGCGACCTCTCACAGGTCTACCCTGGAGGCGACCTCTCACAGGTCTACCCTGGAGGCGACCTCTCACAGGTCTACCCTGGAGGCGACCTCTCACAGGTCTACCCTGGAGGCGACCTCTCACAGGTCTACCCTGGAGGCGACCTCTCACAGGTCTACCCTGGAGGCGACCTCTCACAGCTGAGTGAAAGTTACCAAAGCAGAAGTGTGTGTGTGTGTGTGTGTGTGTGTGTGTGTGTGTGTGTGTGTGTGTGTGTGTGTGTGTGTGTGTGTGTGTGTGTGTGTGTGTGGTGTGTGTGGAGGAGTGAGTCAGTGGACATAAGTGTGTGTGTTACGCTAGGAAACTCGACCAAGCTGGTCACAGGAGCAGACACTGATCAAACCAAGTTAACACTTAGCATAAAAAGTTAGGAGGGAAAGCTTGGCTCCTGGGAAGATCTCTTGGCCAAAGCCCAGCCAGCCAAGGATGCCGCCGCCGCCACACACCTGTGGCCAGTGAAGGTGCTCCACACTCACTCCACCCCAAGATGCTCCACCTCCTCTCACCATACCTCCACCTTATCTATCTGTCTGTCTGACTGTCTCTTCCCCCGTCTGCTGGCGCCAGTGTGTGGAGCACTTGGAGGGTGACGGGTCAGTGCATGTTGGAGATGGGGGAAGTATGTTGTCTGAAATACATTCTACAGCCAATTACAGGTAAAGTGTGATAGCTAGATTTTTTTCAGCCATCAGTTTGTAAATGTTATATATTATAGAAATAAAAAACTGAGAGACAAAAATAATCCCAAGTCCAGTTAACATATTCCAAAAATCGTGTCAAGTGGGATACACTATGTGCCACATACAACACGCCCCACACTATGTGCCACATACTACACGCCCCACACTATGTGCCACATACTACACGCCCCACACTATGTGCCACATACTACATGGCCCACACTATGTGCCACATACTATACGCCCCACACTATGTGCCACATACTACATGCCCCACACTATGTGCCACATACTACATGGCCCACACTATGTGCCACATACTATACGCCTCACACTATGTGCCACATACTACATGGCTTTCACAGACCTGGAGAAGGCTCACACAGCCTTCACAAGCCCTGGAGAAGGCTCACACAGCCTTCACAAGCCCTGGAGAAGGCGCACACAGCCTTCACAAGCCCTGGAGAAAGCGTGTGACAGCAGCTAACAAAAAGAGCCGTGTAGCGGCCGTCAGCAGTAGCTGGAACGCTGTTAAACACACTGAAGTTTTTCCAGGACGGAGAGCTTAGTGTAGGGGAGGGGGGTCGGTGGTGTATAATGAGGGGGGAGGGTGGAGAGCAACACGGGCATGTGCACCGTACCTGTGCACCGGCGTGTGCACTATCATATCTACACTTGAAGCTGTGTATGGAGTCAGCCTCCACCACATCACTGCCTAATGCATTCCATCCGTTAACTACTCTTGACACTGAAAAAGTTCCTTCTAACGTCCCTGTGGCTCATGTGGGTACCCAGTTTCCACCTGTGTCCCCCCTTGTTCGCGTACCACCCGGGTTGAATAGTTTATCCTTGTCTACCGGGTCGATTCCCTCCTGAGGATTTTGTAGGTAGTGATCATGTCACTACCTACAGTGATCTTCGCACAATCTTCTCCGTCAGCTTGCATGGTATGCAGGTTAGGGACACTGGCCTGTAGTTGAGTGCCTCCTGAACCTTCAGTGCCAGTGTGTGTGTGTGTGTGTGTGTGTGGGGGACACACACACACACACACACACACACACACACACACACACACACACACACACACACACACACACACACACACACACACACACCCCAGGCGTCGGCTCAGGATAGCGCAAGAGGGTACTAGGCTAGTAGGCGGGGCATGAAGAGTTAGACCTGACAATTCCCTAGTCAGTTATAGGTAAGTACAACACCCGCAGTACTCACACACACCACTCCCAACATAAATAACATGATAGCATGAGGGATGATATCCAGCTGATGATTGGTTGAACGGGCTGCCTCCAGCCAGGCCACCAACATCCCCATTGGTCGCTGCCACACACCAATCTATGATTGGTCCATACTGTAAATATCACTGCCAACGTTATTATAAACGCCAGTGAGGTATTCTTCTGCTATTGGTTGAGAGAAGGTCAGAGACGCACTGTTTTAAATAAAAACATGTTTGTAGTCTCTGGCATCCTTCAGCATCCTCCGGCATCCTCCGGCATCCTCTGGCATCCTCCAGCATCCTCCGGCATCCTCCGGCATCCTCTGGCATCCTCCGGCATCCTCCAGCATCCTCCAGCATCCTCCAGCATCCTCCGGCATCCTCTGGCATCCTCTGGCATCCTCCGGCATCCTCCGGCATCCTCCGGCATCCTCTGGCATCCTCTAGCATCCTCTGGCATCCTCCAGCATCCTCCGGCATCCTCCAGCATCCTCTGGCATCCTCCAGCATCCTCTGGCATCCTCTGGCATCCTCCGGCATCCTCCAGCATCCTCCAGCATCCTCCAGCATCCAACACTTGCACCAGATGAATCAATCTCACTCTAAATAAATTAATCCCCGCCGTCAAAGTTAACCTTTCCCGGGATTATCTTCGGAACCTAACGAAATGTTAGAATTCTCGCTCATTTATATTTTACACAAGTTGATGTATGAGTTTACAGTGTGAGGTGTGAGTGGCAGACAGAGTTTACAGTGTGAGGTGTGAGTGGCAGACAGAGTTTACAGTGTGAGGTGTGAGTGGCAGACAGAGTTTACAGTGTGAGGTGTGAGTGGCAGGCAGAGTTTACAGTGTGAGGTGTGAGTGGCAGGCAGAGTTTACAGTGTGAGGTGTGAGTGGCAGGCAGAGTTTACAGTGTGAGTGGCAGGCAGAGTTTACAGTGTGAGGTGTGAGTGGCAGGCAGAGTTTACAGTGTGAGGTGTGAGTGGCAGGCAGAGTTTACAGTGTGAGGTGTGAGTGGCAGGCAGAGTTTACAGTGTGAGGTGTGAGTGGCAGGCAGAGTTTACAGTGTGAGGTGTGAGTGGCAGGCAGAGTTTACAGTGTGAGGTGTGAGTGGCAGGCAGAGTTTACAGTGTGAGGTGTGAGTGGCAGACAGAGTTTACAGTGTGAGGTGTGAGTGGCAGGCAGAGTTTACAGTGTGAGGTGTGAGTGGCAGGCAGAGTTTACAGTGTGAGGTGTGAGTGGCAGGCAGAGTTTACAGTGTGGTAATAATTTTTTTTTGTTATTAACATATTAGGTACATCTGCATTAGTGCAGCTGCCCTAGACTATATGAAGTGGAGTACAGTGTGTCAAAAAAGCTAACTAGGTGATGCTAAAAAATCCCCATCACACAGGATGGTTAGTCATACAGAGGCATGTGATAAGCGGTCTGCACTGGCAGACTCCGGATGCATTTTGAGGATAGCAACAACACAAGATTGAATAAGGTAGCAGTGGTAATACAAGTCCCCATCTCGCAGGATGGTTAGTCATACAGAGCCATGTGTTTAATAGCCTGCACTGGCAAATTTTGGGTATACTGTGAGGATATCTTCAAGAATACGAGAGTGAATAAAGTAATTGCAAAGCTCCAGGTACCTCATGCCAACTGGTCTGAAAGGTCTAATAACTGGGCATTCAGTGATGTAGTGCGGGAGATCATGCCGTAGTTCCTGGTCACAGAGTTTGCAACTGGAGTGCTCAGGATTGGGAGACCCGTCACCTGCAGCCACCTGCCACAGGTAACGGTAACCCAACCTGATCCTTGCAACCACTGTGTCGCACAGTCTAGTGGACGTTTTGTGCTGTCCATAGATGTAGGTTTCAGATCTGAACAAATCATAGCTTTTTATACTAGTACTTAGGTCTTAGACTACGAGATAATATATACAAGTCTACGGGGGCGGTGTTCCACGTTTCACTGGACCACAAAGCCAAAGGTATTAAGGTAGAACTCTCATGTCGACGTGTAAAGTAGGAGCCTGAACAACACGCAGCAGAAGGTAGAAACCAACATCTTATACAATATAAAATAATAAAAGAAATGTAGATTATTCGTTGCAATGGACGATCCACAGCTGGAAAAACAGGATTCAACAGCTGAAGCTCGACACTGAGGACGTGCACGCACGCACGCACGTACACACTCTCTCTCACACACACACACACACACACACACACACACACACACACACACACACACACACACACACACACACACACATTCAAACGTAAATATAAATTTCAGTAGGATCAGGAACCTGTACACCTGTTGATCCATCACCCCCACGTCAATCCCAGGAGCGGGACCGTGCCAGGAGGCAGTAGCCAGGAGTGACAGGCAGAGTGAGAGGCCTGGCTACTCACTGGTCACTATGGAAGACTTCCCACTCCGGAAACCTTAACGTGTCACGCATCGTATACAACACTTTACGAGTAACAGGAAGCTGCTCCAGTCACGATCATACCTTCCGTAATGGACAATACATTACTCCAACTGAAGATTGGAGTAGGTATATATATATATATATATATATATATATATATATATATATATATATATATATATGTATATATATATATATATATATATATATATATATATATATATATATATATAATATATATGACAATGTCAGACCACGGAGGAAAATGAAACAGGAATTTCCTTAAGTACTTTCGTATATTAAATACATCTTCAGAAGGAATCCTTCTGAAGATGTATTTAATATACGAAAGTACTTAAGGAAATTCCTGTTTCATTTTCCTCCGTGGTCTGACATTGTCACATTCTTAATCACGTGTTTATTTTCGTGATACACACACACACATATATATATATATATATATATATATATATATATATATATATATATATATATATATATATATATATATATATATATATCCCTTCCCACTCCATTGCCTGACCCCTTCCTCTCCCTCTCATCTCTCCCCATTTCCCTTCTCGCCACCCTCCCACTCCCCTCCTCACCCCGGACTTGCTACCCTCCCCATTCCAAGTTTGAACAGACAGACAATTCCATTAATATATGTAGAAAGGGGTACCCGGCTGCACCCGGGTCTCTTACCCTCTCTTTTCACCCCTTTCTCCCTCTTCAGCCCATTTCCCCTCGACTCTCTCGCCCCCCCCCCATCCCCTCGTCCCCTCCCCAGTCAACCTCCCCCTTCCCCAGTCAACCTCCCCCTTCCTTCCTTCTCACAGAAAATTTATTAATAAGAAGCACTTAAACAGCAGCGTGTGTCTCAGAAAATATATTACGATCACAGGTGTTGGGGCCAGAGGCTGGGCCACTGTGGCGGCCACCACAGGTGTTGGGGCCAGAGGCTGGAACACTGTGGCGGCCACCACAGGTGTTGGGGCCAGAGGCTGGAACACTGTGGCGGCCACCACAGGTGTTGGGGCCAGAGGCTGGAACACTGTGGCGGCCACCACAGGTGTTGGGGCCAGAGGCTGGACCACTGTGGCGGCCACCACAGGTGTTGGGGCCAGAGGCTGGACCACTGTGGCGGCCACCACAGGTGTTGGGGCCAGAGGCTGGACCACTGTGGCGGCCACCACAGGTGTTGGGGCCAGAGGCTGGACCACTGTGGTGGCCACCACAGGTGTTGGGGCCAGAGCCTGGACCACTGTGGTGGCCACCACAGGTGTTGGGGCCAGAGGCTGGACCACTGTGGTGGCCGCCAGTGGGGAACCTACACCACCTTGCACACAGGGGCCTCGTGCTCGCCTCCCGTAGCTGCTACCTCAGGCGTACCTGTCGCCCTCGGTGTAGTGGCGTCAGTCACTCACCCCGGGAGGACTGACCGCCGCCTGGACCTCACCTACACCAGGGGAGTAGCACTCAGGTGACGGAGGCAGGGAGGTAGGACGCACTTAAGTGACAAACACAGGGAGGTAGGATACACTTAAGTGACGGAGGCAGGGAGGTAGGATACACTTAAGTGACAGACACAGAGAGATAGGACGCACTTAAGACAGGAATCCCGTGACCCTGGTCCACCTACCATCACATGACCTCCAGTAACTATACTCTTGGTCACTACACACACACACGATGAGCGCCTTAAATCATTACTACCCCCGCAACATTATCCCAAGTTAATTCCCAGGCTCCTGGCCGCCACTTGATCCACTGGACTGTGACTAGAGGTTGTTGCCACCTCACCTTTAACCTTCCTCAGTG